GTTCAGATTTAACCGGCCAGTTTTTCCACTGCAATTTCATTTTGCCCCTTCCACAAGTTTGTTCGGCTCCATGCGCCAGCACTACTTATCCATCAGAATCAACTTTTACACCTAACTTGCCCTTAACAGCGGCAGCAGCGAGTTCACTAAGATTTAATTCTAACCATATTTTTGGCGCGAAATTTGCTTTTGACTCCACTTGAAATTCTTTCACCTTAAGCAACATTTTGATTTACGCGACCCTGGCCATTTATTCAGCCACCAAAGGTCACTCAACGATTTTTCGACTTCAGTTCCAGGTAACTGGCTTCATCACTGAACTAGTCATACCTCAAGTCCCATTATTATAGTTTTTTGGTTCTCACAACTATGATTAATTTTCATGCGGTAAGCGTGTCCCGTTGGTTGTCGCTTTCGGCGTTCTTTGCCCATCGCGTTCGGATTGAAAGAACCGAATCATGTCTCTGTCGGTAGGGTAATACGAGTTGGGAAGTAAATATATTATTATTGTTATTACTATTATTGCCCACTTTCCAAAACACCTCTAACGCCCTACATCAAGGCGAAAGTGGCATCATTGGGTCTGTCCAGCCTCAATGTAAACCGCATTTTGTGCCCGAAATTCTCATGTGTCTCCGTTGTGAATTTCTCAATCTAATCATCTTTGCCTAAGATTTTAGTATTCCTGACGAGTTACCCAGTCGTCCACGGTCTTTGATAGGTAGCAACGGATTTCCGGTTTATTTTGTACCAAACGCCCGCATCACTGAACTAGCCGTACCCCCTGCCACATTGTTATATTATTTTGTTTTCCACAATTTACAATAATAAAGGCCTGTCCCTTTAGTTTAGCCCGTTATGTTTTCTATCGTCAGCTTCAGCCTGTACCTGCCTAATGATAGCTCAACCTGTATGTTCTCGCCCGGTCGGGAACTACGACTATTATTTTTATCATTCCACTAAATTGATAGAAGACGCAGTTTTCAAGAGATTCTTTATGCCTGATTCCCGTGTTTCAAGCTTTCCTGATAGCTGCTCGATATCGCCCCAATAGCTTTAACCCCATACTCGCCTACAGCGAACTTCATCCTCACAAATAGGGAAATTTATATTGCTTTCCGCGGTAGGCGTCAGGGAGTCTTTTAGTCAGTTTGATGTTACGTATGCACAACATGAGGTGCTCTATATAACGCCAACGCGAGCCAAGGAGAACCCTTGAGCTGTCATCCAAAAAATGTCATATGACTCCGTCGTTGCGTACATAATAAGCCAAGGTAACCAACTAAACGATTAATCCATGGCTAGATGTCCAGGATTCTTAATGAACTGGAGAGATTCAACTTGTGCTGATCAAAGTGGAGAGGTAAACGAACCTAACGCACTCCAAGACCAACAGGCGTATATCCATCTCAACTTAGAAACGTTAGTGGTCTGACTGGAACAAGAGGAAAAGTTGAATTTCCTTAGGCTTCTTCTTGACTATATACAATAGTCATAATATGTCCCTGCGGGAGGGGTACGGATTACTTGGTGCGTCTTACTGAGTTTGTGCGTCACTGAAATGAGCGAGGTATCACAGAGAGTAAGACAAATCTGTCCTTCACCTGATCAAAAAGACAGTCGACACTTCAGGGTAGTCGTTGGTGACTTGAGTGATAAGGATACTGCTGATCCATCGGCTGAAAGCGGCCATAGGTAAAAGACGATGTTCCATTTTTCAACAAATCGGTGCAAATGCGAGATTCATCTTCTGTTAGCAGTCAGTTTACGGGCCACTTAATTATTATGAATGAGATGATGGGAGGTGACACCTAGGTGACGCTATCTCTTCAGACAAGGGCGGATTGACTATCCTGTGTTTCTCCGACTGTTCGGCATTAGGCAGTGGGCTCAACCTGCTAGCTTCTTCCGAGTTCTCAAGTTCCGCTTGATATTGTGAGTATATAACCACATTTGCGGTGCAGCCACATTTAACGCAAAGCAGTCTTAGTGCGTTCCTTCCTATGTGCACACAAATGCCGTATGATTATTATTCGTGTTTTCAGGTAGCGCTGTGTCAATTTATTTAATGGATGGGAGCCATCGGCCACCCAGCAAATATTTTTAAGCTAACAAAACACCTTGACGAGGCATGCAAGCGCAAATTCAGAGATTCAAGTTGAAGGTGCGCATCAGAAAACAGTTAAGTGGGACTTCATCCCTTGATTGTGAGATTTGGTGATGCGTGGGCTCGTGGGATCGATTAAAAATTACGGGGTCTGGTGGAGGTGGCTGGAAATGCGACATGGGTGGGACATTGATGAATAAGTTCGAGGGCAGGCCAGTCGATATCGTGCTTATGGGCAATGAATGTGGAAGGCACAAACCATCGCGTTCAAGAATTCATCCTTCCGTGGAGCGAATGTTGAGGCAACAAGTTTCTGCTTGGTCGACTAGCTTACCAGCAGTGGAAAACCTTGAGACTTTGTTGAGCTGATTGTAGTTTGAGAGATGATGTAAAACTGGTTAGGAGCCCTAGGCGAAAGGGACTATGGGCAGATATGGGGTGCTTCCGATGCCTGCGATGTTTCGGGTGAAACTAGTTTGGCCTCGTGATCTCTTCAGAACAGGAAATCTACTGGAGGTCAGTGACGTATTTGATGACCCGATGCCGTAGACTGGTCGGCTTGTTAACATCGCCCCTTGGGGAAGGTTAATCTTTGCTACCACGGTTTCTTATCAAACGCCTGTCATGGTCGACGAAATGAAAGGTGGACTAATCTATGTCGAAGAATGGTTTTTTGGGAGTGTGAGGGAGCCTAGTGCCATGGTCGACGAAATGAAAGATGGACTAATCTATGTCGAAGAATAGCTCTATCGGAGTGTGTGGGGAGCCTAGTGACACTCTTGAGGATATCATGTAATGAGAAAGTTTGGGGCTCATCAAACGTTCTATGTGAAAGGATTTGAGAATTGTTTTATTGAGGTTCATTTGCACCCAGAAGGCGCAGATGCCGATTGCTCGCTGCAAAGTGCAGGGCTCTCAGAAGGGTATTACAATAGGATTGGCGTCGGGTAACCATTTTCGTTCAGGTGAAACAACGGGACAGAGAGAATTACCTAAGTTTGGGGGTAGCAGAGTCCTTTGCACAAACCTTTGTGAAACTCTGATGGAGACATGGAATTGAGGATACTGTGAGAGATCAAAGACTACTATGGAGGATTGTCTGAGAGCATACCTAGAGGTCCACCCAGATGATCAATCCTTACCCAGTGAGTTTTTCCATAAAAAGCTGGGAGTTTATGGGGGATATATTCGAAAAAATCTGAAGAAGTCGATGATCATTACGGAGTTTAAGGTATTTTCACGGAAAACTGAGTCGATTCTGAAAGGCGTGCCGGGCTCGTAAAGCATAGGCAGATATGAGGAAATTGTACGGCACCGGGTGTACAAGTTTGTGAACGGGTAGGCAACTGAGCAGAATCATTCAAACTTATTGATTACTATTTGCTGGATGAACTTAATGCCAGTAAGAGGATAGCCGGGTCGCACAGGTTAGAAACTTCGCGGAAAGAGAGGATGAGGACCAGAATCTTGGGGAAGAAAGGACGAATTGAAGCTTGCATAGAAAGGCTGGCATAATAGCACGGGCATTTAGGATCCCTGAGTTGCCCCTGCCAGGACCAGAGGAACCTCCAAGGTACGAGAAAGAGGGGTGAATTGCAGCTTCTCGGAATTGATCATTGTGAGGCTACCAAGTATCANCTTCGCGGAAAGAGTGGATGAGTACCAGAATCTTGGGGATGAAAGGACGAATTGAAGCTTGCATAGAAAGGCTGGCATAATAGCACGGGCATTTAGGATCCCTGAGTTGCCCCTGCCAGGACCAGAGGAACCTCCAAGGTACGAGAAAGAGGGGTGAATTGCAGCTTCTCGGAATTGATCATTGTGAGGCTACCAAGTATCAGGGAGTAGTCACTGTCGATACTGTAGTTCAGCGCGACCGTGTAGGCATTTAAGAGAACTTAGGCTGCATCTTGTTGGCTGAGGGTGAGAGAGCCGGGTGTCCTCATGGAGAATTCCTTCCTCCTTGGGTAACAGATATGAAAGAAAAGGAGCTTTTGTCAGATTCTCTCGTGAGAGTTTTTGTGGCTGGTTTTTATTTTTCGGTATTCATTCTTCTGGGGATGACGAAAGCTCGAGACTTCGCTTTACGTTGGATAGCGGACCAGCCTTCCCACGGGTATCTTTTCGAATTCGTCGCTAGCCGCCTACGTGTGCGTTAGAGTGAAACGTGACGAAAAGTTGATTGCTAGCGCTTCGCTTGTTGTATTCACGGATTTATACACAGGATCGAGGCTTTTGCCCAAGTTCCCCGGGTCGCTATTTTTCTTGTCGGTCAGTGGACGTCGTTCAGCTGAAAGGCACAAGTGAAAAAAGGATGTGGCATTGCTCTTTATGTTCTCAGCGCGGGGTAGTATGCTTGCCAGCGCGAGGATTTGCATAAATAAGTGTCTAATAGTGCTTTAAACTGGGTTCTAGAAGAAGTGTGGACAACCGTCGGAGGAAGGTCGTTCCACGCAGCTACTACCCTAAATGAGAAAAAATTTTGTCCAATGAATGTGTGTGCTCTGAGCTTGAAAATTTTCTTACTATGTCCCCGCTGTGTATTTGCCGGGTCAACGGTGAAAAACCTGTTTTCCAAGCTTTGTTCAAACAGAGCATAAGTAAGAATTAGGTCCTTTCGGAGGCGACGGTACTCCAGGGGAAAGAGATCAAGCATCGCGTATCGCGTTTCGTAGCCCACGGATTTGAGGCCCGCAACCATTCTCGTAGCGGTCCGCCTGACACGCTCAATGAGGGTGACGTCTTTCGTGCGTCCTGAGTAGACAACTTGGTTGGCATACTCCAGGAACGGTCTGACGTAGGCCCCATAGGGTATCTGGAAGTCCATGCGAGTAATACGGGAGAAGGTGCGTCGGATCATCCGTAAATGGTGAATGCCTTTTGAGCCGATTTCTCATGGTGCAGTGAGAAGGACAAGTTTGAGAAGACTCAGATGCCCAAACCCTTTTTGGCATCCATCCTCGTGATATTTTCTGGTCCCTTTTCACCTCCAAGCGACATATGGACGCACTTTCATCATTTAGAGGAAGGTGCCAGTCCAGCGATCACTGCTTGGCAGCGTCTACATCCATTTGGAGGGCACTGGCATTGGAACTCCAGGATTTCAAGTCGTGGAGAAAATATGGGTTATAATGAAGCTAAGTGAAACCAGTGGTTCTTAGGAGCGTGAATAGGTTTGTTAAAATTTATGGTTGCTCGCCGTCCGTTGGTACAACATAAACCCGGATGGCCGAGGTGGAGGGAATGGGCAAATTTGTGAACGAGACAAAACGACAACGCACCTGGAAAGTCAGTATTTGGGGAATTGGCATAAATTTACCAGATTTAGATGGTTTTTTGCGCAAATAGTCCACCTGTCCAGAGAATAGCAGCAGTATAATGGAATGAGTACCCGTCATCATTTTGGGTGTGACAGTCATCGTAGCACCATCGCTACATCAAATATGTATCCGTGAAAGGCCTTGCGCGCGGATGCTTCAGGTGGACCATTTACGTTCGGTAAATTCATGTGTACGAAGAGAATGAATGCGGAATATGAGTATGACCCCATGCCGTGGTTCGGTAGGGCGCACTTTAAAATCTCTATCATGGAAACGGATGGCTTTCTGGCAGGCATTTGGGGATGTACCGAAAACTTAGAGGAGCAGGTTAAAACATAGAAGAGGTTTATTAAACAGGTGGCTGCGGAATCGGTTCAATAGTGAAAAGTTCCGAAACGAAAACGGTTCGCTACCACCAGTGATAGTAGTGCAGAGAGTGATTAGGTAGCTAAAGAACACGCAGAATGTAGTGTACAACTAATTATGGAGAAAAATGAGGTGGGGGAAAAAGCGAGGGTCTTGGTTGTTCTGTATGTCCACACGATGAGATGGTCTCCATGCGACGCATTCATAGCCACAAAAAGGGTACAATTTCTGTGGAAGGAAATGCTTTCGAGTCGTTGCTTTCAGTTTTTATCGGTTGGCTTGCAGGTGAGGAAAATTTGCTGTAGCTGGTGTTTTGGATTCCTGAGGGGGACCTTTGGGAAATATGCTTTACCCGCAATATCATCAAGTCAATGACACTGGCACACAAGAACGACTATTATTTATTTTTTTGAATAAAACCCCGTCTGAGAAACCGGAGATGTGTATCTCACCCGCGTCAGCATATATATCACCAGAGGCAACACACCAGGATGAATATC